TCTTCCTGTTTGTCCGATGTAGTGTTTGTCACAGTCTCTGCAGGGAATCTTGTATATGACATTGGTCCTGTCCATAATGGGTAGTGGGTCTTTGGTTCGGGTGAGCAGTTGTCGTAGGGTTGATGTGGGTTTGTGTGCCACTCTGATGCCCAGTGGTCATAGGAGTCTTGTGGTTAGGTCCAGTTGTGTTCCTGATGTAAGGTAGCGTGATGAGTGTGTTGGGGTGTGTAGTATCTTCCTGGTGGTGTTCATGTAATAGGCCTCTTTTGACCCAGTTTTTTGGATATCCATTGTCCTTGAATATCTTGAATACAACGGCGCTTCATCGGAGGCTGCATCACTGATGATGTTACCCAGCAGGGTAATGAAACGTCTGCGGAATACAAACGAACCAGCTTGGCGAGCCAACCAACTACAACATCCACAACCTGAGCTACAAATCTACTCCAAAACCTTATTTGTAATACTAGATATGTAGTGTTATGAAATCAGCTTATTAATTATGGCAATAGAGGTTTGGTCCACTACATGTTTGCATCAGTTCAGGAGTTTAGAGACTGACTAAATCATTTAAATTTTTAACACCTTGAATTGTCCTGTTTATAATCCGATCAAGTCAATACATTTTTAATCTAACATTTATAATTTGAGTTCTAATGATTAGAACTATGAAATCACTTCCCTGGTAAATTTTTGATCTAAATGTTGCAGATCTCAGTTGTGATGTTATCAGGTGTTTTATAAGGACAAGTTGTTGAGGACTAAATTGACTTCTGTTGTTTGCATGTTAGTAGTTCCAGTTTTGCTAGATAAAATGCGTGCCATAAAAATGCTTGAGCCAGGGAGGTAAAATTGAATTGTTTGCCAAAAAAAGACGCTTAAAATATTTTAATCCTGAATGCAGAAATTTTTCCATGAATAAAATGACCATGTTATATATCTTGTTACTTGAAGCAGACATTCTTGTTCAAATAATTAATTTACCTAAAGATACATAAGTTTAAAAACACTATGAGCAGTCCAAAAATATAACCTGTTACACAACCTAATCAATTTAAATTCTAATCTGCATCAAAATTTGATCCAAACAAAATTGGAAATTGCTGAAAGAGCTCAGCAGATCTAACAGCATTTGTGGAGAGAAGCAGAGTTAACGTTTTGGGTCTTGTGGCTCTTCAGTACTTTTCCGGTAATTTCTGTTTTTGTTCCAGAATTTGTTAGTATGTTTTTAATACTAGTACTGTGTCACTACACTCTGAAGGTTTTGTATTAGTGAGCTAAAACTAAATGTATCTCTGATATTGAAGTCCAGTTAATTCATATTAATGAAATTCTCATCTGCCTCGTGTAAGATATCTAATATATTTTAGATATATAAGATATTAACTGACATGAGCAGAGTCCTCGAGCTCCAGTAAATCCTTATAATAATACACACAATTAATGTGCCTCATTAAATATAGAGTGCAATAAAAATGCATTACTTTAAAGGAAGATGCCTCCAAATTGCTGTGCTGCTTAAGTGCTAAAGTTGCATCTATTCTTTGTAGTCAAACATTGTTTGCTTTAGTCTAAAGGAAGTTTGGAAGCTTTGGAAGTTCAATCAACAGACGTTGAGCCTCCACTCCCACCTAAACTCGGTCCAAGCAAATACGCAAACCTTAAAAATCAGCTCAGCGCTTCAACCAATGAAGGTAAAGTGATTAATCAAGAAATGGCATAATATTTCTGCTTAGATCTTGTGTATGAATAATTGCTGTTTTTGTGAAATCTTTTTACAAAGTGAAACCTTTTTACAAAGATACGTGTCTGAAACATGAACAGTTATGAGCCAGTGTTTGATGGTGGATAGTAAATATTGGTGTACTCTCTTGATCACACTGCACATATATCTCCTTACTTGTGTTCAGGAAAAATGGAACTATAAAGCAAATAGGTATACTTACACATACCTTTTAATAAAGTGCGTCCCATCCTAAAACTTGCCGTTCTACATCCTATATATGAGTGATGAGTCTTAGAGTAGGACCTGTAGAAAATTTTCCCCAGCTTTTAAATCCTTCAACTGTCACCACATTTAACTTGTTCTTTCATTTTATAAAATTAAAGTTGTTCTTAACGTTTCTAAAACTTCAGATTATAAATTATTGTTGAATTACTTTCTGTAATTTGTAAACAGAGGTAAAATGCTAATACCAGAAATCTAATGAAGTGTCGTAGCCCAAAACATTATTCTTTTACAGCTATTGACAGGTTTGCAGCAGTTTACTGAATATAAGCTGAAATAAGTCATAACATATATAAAGCATATTTACTGAATATATTTATTTCTGAATGAGCTGATAAACATTGTAAGAGTGAAATGCCTACAACTCTAGTAGAATTTAAGTGATTTTCTTATATTTATTTGCTCCTCTTTGTTACAATCCCTTTGTTACATACTCCTCAAAGAAATTACCACCCAATGAGGAGTTCAGATGATGGTTAATTATAGCTAGGTTGATTGGGAATAGTGTGGAATATTTCCTTGTGCTACATTAAAAGACCACTCTTGAGGTCGATGAGACCATTTATAATCTTCAGTTCCCGTTATGATAGTGCAGACAGGTTTTCTCAGGTTTATGTTTATTTTACTACTCTGTTAGGTACCTGGCTGAAATCAGGAGTTCACCTCATGTTTGCATATAATCTCGTATCTTGCAATGTAGCTAGTTTTCTTACGTATAGCTAATAAATCCAGTGTTCTGTTTACATTAAATTATTCTGTTTATCAAAGTGTTTCTATGATGGTGATGGCTGAAGTATGTAACCAGATGTTTCTTTCTCAAGTATGTAAATGCATATATTGCATGCATCTGTGTGTGGACTGAGCTGTCTCGGGTGTAAAAGGAACTGAGTTTGTTTAACTAGACTCTTTTTGTTCTTGGCGGAATGCTTTGTAGTAAAAATGTGCAGCACTGTAGTTGGGAGTGAGGGATGATGGCATGCTTTGCTTTAAACAAGGCATCATTTTAATAAAGAATGTAGAGCTGCACTATTTGGAATGAAACCTGTAACAGCAGTGTGACCAGAAAATGCGCATTATACTGGAAGATGATGATATTTGGTGTCGTGAATAGGGATTGTTGGTGAGAGTTGCTAATTTAATAAGAATTTGTCTGCAAGGAATATTGTCTCAAAGGAGTATCTCAAGGAATATTGTCTCACTTTGCTTAGGAGGTATAATGTTAATGGAGTTAGATTGTCAGCACACCATTCAACAACACTTTAAATCCTATGGTTGCAGGATAAATTGAAATTCATTTTTTCTAAAAAGACAAAATCTCCAATAGAAACAATTGATTTTGAAAAATCAAGTGGGGCGAAAAAAAGTACGCAATGGAATAAAGCAATTTTTCCAAGTTGATCAGATGCTTTTTTTGTGTCTACTTTGAACTCCCAGCTCAAGTTGATATGCTAGTACATTGCCTACTTAAATCTTTGTTCCACTTTGTACTCTCTTTTCTGTTGTCTTCTCCTTGTCCTTCTTCACAGGGAAGTAGTTATTGAACAGTCATGGTTCTGCGAATAGCTGATGTTAAAGTGCGCGTTAAACAGTGAGGTTGGTGGGTTTATTGAAATCTATCCTTATCCAGTCATATATGAACATTTGCATACACTCTAATTTTCATCAATGTGTCACTGGATGACATCATTAATTGTTCTCTGTATCCCCAAAAGACTAATTGTAGGGATTTGGTCATCACTTCATTTGTAAGTGTCTTACTTTGCCCATAACAATGGTCATATTTGAGCTGCTTTGTATGAATCCTCACCACACCATTTAATATGCTTATTCAACCAATCATTATTCCTAAAGGGTGACCTTGAGTGTTTCCTTGTGAATTTTGCAATGAAAAAGGTGGGGTTTAATCCAGTGTTACTATAATTAACTTGATGTTTAGTGAGAGAAAGATTTGTAGGAAAGTTCTACACAGTTGTCTGTGTTGATGATCTAAGGTATGCTGTACAGTAGCTGTGGAACAGATTTTAAGGTATTTCAGAATATGGAATTCATAGATGAAACATATACAGTTCAATTTTCATTTTTAAACATTTTGAGTACTGAGTTTTTTGCATTGCAAGCAATAAATCACTGAATAGTTTTCAACCAATTCCTATATTTAAAAAAGACTGTCCGATTGGCTAATAGGTGTCTACCATAAGAAAACTGGCAATAAACTGATGCTAACGTAAATTCAGTGCAAAAGCACAACTGCAGTACTCAAAGGGTTTATTTTTGTCTATTCCAATCCCCTTTAATATACCCACCATCATTATATTCCAATCTGTCATAAAGCTACTGCAGTTTTGTTTAATTTTCATTCTTTCCTGTGTCTTGGAATGGGATAGTTGAGTTTGTGTACATCTGGTTTTAACATTGAAAAGCTCCTGGAAACCTTGTGATAAGGATGGTGTTTACCTAGATTCCTCTGACCGAGCCCTTCTGTTGTTTTTCAGTAGTTAGAGTGTACCTTTTGTGTCCGTGTGTACTGCTACCTGTACTACATTGTCGTTGTCTTATTGCAGATAGTGGTCTCTCATCCAAGCCCATCAACCCACCCACTCCTGCCATGTTTAAGTATCGACCAACATTCAGCAGTTCAGATGCAAACCCCAAAGTCCTCTACCATGCTGCTAGTGATAAGGTGAGGAGCGTGCAGCATCCGGTGCTAGACAATAAGCCTTGTTCGTTGCTTTTTTCTCAGAAACATAGAAAATATTAGATAACTTGACTAGAATGGGAAAAGTTTGAGACAAAGTGAGTGAAATGTTAGCACAACACTGAAATGACGTTTTCATCTGCTGCATTAACCCTTTTCAAGCCACTACACTTGTTTGTAGAATCTTAAAATGATGTGAATGTTATAATACTTTAATAACTGATTATTGATTACCACATGATATGCTTTGGATCTCCAAGAAAAGGAGCCTTGGATTTGTATATCACATTAATCTCCAATCATTTCACACATGAATTTCTCTTGCCACACAGTGACATTTAGGTAGGTTTAGAAGATTGCTGTTTGCTGTTACAAGTTATGATTTATGATTTGTGTGGTCAATAAATATGTTTCTATAGAGTTTGTGAAGGAATTTGTTCTGATGTTTTAATACCTATAACCAACATTTGTTTCATCTTATAAATGTATAAATGTTGCCAATGGTCAGTTTCTTAGAGGCATCCGGGAGGCAAAGAAAAATCAATCTTCTAATTTAAAATGAGCATCCATTAATCATTGTTGAGGCTTTGGTTATTTAACAGTGTATGCTGTCCTTTTTTTTGCAGTGGGAGGAACGTGCTAAGCGGGGAGAAATGTTGGAAAGAAGAATTTCGTTATTTTTTGCCATATAAGTGGGTGGGAAGCAAATAGCTGTAAACTGTGGTGCATTTGATTTGGATCTGAAAATGGGTAGTTTTCTTGTTTGTGAATTGATTGTAACTTTACCAAATTTTCTTTTAGAAATGGTTGATTTGCCAAACAAAACTTAATTATCTTTTAAAATATCGGACTCTCTCCGAATGAAACTTTTCAAAAGTTTAGATGAAAATCAAATTGTATTACAGTGGAATCCGTCTTGGGTGATGCCTAATGCTATATTCTGCATAATCCTGTACCATGAAGCTTTGGAATCAGACATGTATAAAGAATTGCAATTGAAGTAACATATCTGTGCTGTAATTTTAATGTGATGCAAGAAAGATTCAGATTGCATCAGCTAGTCAATATTATGACCTTTAAGAGAGTGCCTATTTGCTGATCTTCTGTGATCTTTATCAGCTTTCTTGATCTCCTTCATGTGATCATTTCAATATAATAGTCAAAAATTAAAATGTCAGTAATGCCAAACTTACTTACTTCAAATTTGAGCAAGAACAAATTAAATATCTTTTACTGAAGAATTAAAAAGTTGGTGGCAGCAACTGTGATTGTTGAGTAATAAAATTGATTATTCCTGGTAATTGTCTTATCTCCTGCTTTTATAGATTTCCATGCAGGAGGGACATAAAGAGGGTGCTATTATGGAAGAGTGCAGCAGGGCCCATGATTACAAGTCCGAGCCAAATCTCGATATCCCTGACTACAGATCGCCATCACTTCACAAGACCTACCAGTCATCGCCCTTCCAACTTGATTCACTCTCTGTTAACTCTCGTTCTCTGAGCCTAAAATCCGCCCATAGGAGAGGAACAGATAAGGTTCAGATACACCAGATGAAGTTGGATGGCTCATCGCCCAATCCGTATAAAAACATTTTTGGTCAAAATTCATTGTCCAACAGGAATGGAAGCCTATCATACGATAGTTTGTTGAATCCCACCACTCCACATCCTGGGGTAGATACCACGGTACATACTGGAGTTTCAGCTGTGGGATACCATTCACCATACCTGTCGGCCAAAATGTGCCAGATCCGAGGGGTGAATCTCCAGCGTCCACCTGTGCAAGGTTACAGTCCCATTCATAGAGCCTCACCACCACACCAACGGGAACCTTCACCTGTCCGATATGACAACCTTTCGAAGCAAATCATGGCCTCCATTCAGGAGCGAAAGGCAATGGAAGAACGAGGGCAACTCCTTCAAGCCTCACCTGATTCAGTGTTTCTAGATTCAGGGGCAAATGACTCAGCTGGGTCATATAACCTGCAGCAAGTGAACACTTTACCGGATGACTCGAGAAGGACAACCACTAGTAGATATGGTTCACGAGATAATCTTCTGTCTCCCGCTAATTACAGCACAAGGAACCCTGTAATGCGCACTTCTGCATCCTCCCTCTCGAGCACAGTGTCAAGGGTAACAAGGACTTCTACGAGTTCCCTTCATGCAGATATAGCAAACAACAATGTGCAGTCCCACCACACTTTGCAAAGCAGAGCTGTTGAGACTTCATACAGGTCTCCGGGTCATCAAATCACATCTTCCTCATTAGTCAGGTCCCCCTCCTATGGGAACCAAAAGCCTTTGTCCTTCGTCACTGCTATGGAAATGTCAGAAGGTGTGCCTCAGCCTCTGGTTACTCCATGGTAGGTAATGCATCTTGTCTTCTGAGCCTTTCTAAGCTGTGTTGGCAGCATTAATTCAAATTGATTTGCCTTTTATTTGTGTGGATTGAATAAGAAAGGAAGCTATCATTTAAGTCTGTACAATAAGATGAATTATAAAATTAAAACAAAGTGCTGGAGAAACTCAGCAGGTCCAACAACATCTGTGAAGACAGAAACAGAGTTAATGTTTTGAGTCCAAAATAACTGTTCTTGAGAATAGTGGCCTGATGTGTTTGTCTAAATAGGTTCCAGAGCAATATCTGAATTAAACCAGTGCACCACTGTCTTTTTGTTTTTCAGTGATGAGGTTCAGATGAAGGCAGCTCACAGCAAAATTAATGGACAGCCAAAACGTTTATCCAGGATGGATAGTCGGATAAGCTCAACTTCTAGTTCCCATGGTGCTACGGTCAGTCCCACCAGGCAGCCCAACGTGAAAAAAGTGTCTGGTGTAGGTGGGACCACCTATGAGATCTCGGTGTGAACAGCCATCAACCAAGGCAGCTGTAAAGCTGGATGCACTGTGAAGACTATCGCAGCAGCTGTGTGTTATTTTTGCCCAACAAGCTGCAGCCTTATTTCTCCAGAAATAGTTTTACAACAAATCAGAAAAATGGTTTCAATTCAGGGCAGGCCCACTGCAAACTTTTTCTTTTTATCATTTTTTTTTTCTCTTTGCTCCATAAAGTGATGTTTTATCTTTTTATCATAGAAAAGATGTATGGTTTTTGTTGAAACTGCTATCATACACTTGCCTATCCATTGGAATCTTGTGTAAAATTTTGTGCTGTGATGGTTTAATAGTAACCTGAACTTCTGTAATGATTTTATGATGGTGAAGGGTTTTAGTCTGGCCTGCCAATCAAACTTGTTAATACTAGCTTGACAAATGTAATACTTTTTATTTTGTGTTAATAGACGTAGGCACAACTGTGTGGCACCAAAGCTTGTTGGTTCCCTTCCTTCTCTGGAGGAAGTGATGCTTATACATCAGCCAAAAGATGTTTTAAAACTGTCCTCTAGAAGGAGACTTTATGCCATTAGACAACCTGTCCAATATCCTTGTATGTGAGTTTTTGTGTGTGAGTGCACCTGTGTCTGTTAGAGCTTGTATGGAAAAGTTAAAGGGAGAGTGCATTGTTATGAGGCTTAAAAACCTCAAAGCTTTAAGAATGTTTGTTTGATAAATAATACAATCTATTAAGGTGTTAAAGATTCCTATCAGTAATGAAATGTTGGAATTGACAGTATGTACAATTTCATATGTATGTAGAAGAGGAGTTAATCTGTGCTAAGGCTAATGATGAAAAGAATATTATACACAAGCAAACTGGCTGTTGTTCCATCTCTTGACTGATGAGGTTTCAGAGTTCAGGCTGTTTCCACACTGTTGCAAAGTAATGGAATGTGAGATGTTTGCGCACTTGTTTCATGCATGGTACATTTTTCATTATTGCCATGGTTTTAAGGAACTGCTGAGGTGAAGTTATTATGTTATTTCCCCTTGTCAGTGGTCAAAGGACAAGTTGACGCACATTCCTCTCCCACATCACTTGTAATATTGGTCTAGGATTGGGAAACATTTCTCCATTCTTGGCTGGGATTAGTTTGCCTAAAGGAGGAGGAGAAAATCCATTCGATATCAATTCTTTCAGTGCAATGTCTCATGTACTATTTTGTTAATTGCAGACAAAGATTGCAAGTATGTTTCTAATAACCTTTTAAGATAGCGTCAAATGTGTGATGCAGTGAAATTAGTTGCTTTAAATGGACCCTGGTTTACCAATGTCAAGGTAAGCCTTTCAGCTGCACCTATAGCCATTAACCTTGAGGGTATAAATATTTTTATTTTTGATTCAGATCTTTTCATTCTTTGTTTTGGTCCTTTTGACTTAACATCTGCAGCAGATCTGATTTGATCTGTAGAATTAAATGTGCCAGATATTTGCATTGTTTCCAGTGAAATGCAACAATCTTTAATTCTCAGGTTTAGTTTGTTCTGGCATAAAAGTCCCTTAGTGACTCATGGAAGCCCCTCGTTGGCTATTCTGGAAAGACCATTTGAGATATGTTGCATCCCTGTCATGTATATCTTGGATATGTTTAAGCTTCATACCATCAAGGCCAGGAGCGCTTTTTGAATCAATCCCCTCCATAGCAGTATTAACTTCACCTTCTTCTATAGGTCTCATCAGAAGATCCGTATCCTTCAGTATATGACATAAATTTATTCATTAAGATTGGCTTTATTGTTAGGAGTTAATAGTTTAGCACTAGTTCCACTTTAGATAAGGGACAGAGAGTGATAGCGGAGGCCCCCATAATTTGATGAGCATGTTGTCTTCTATTATTTTTAAAGTAATTGAGTCTCCTTGAATCAAGAATTCTTTACAGCAAATCAGTTTCTTGCTCCACAAAGATTCACCATTTCTAGCTGTTAAGAAAGGAATGAAGAGAGGAATGTAAATTAATAGCTTTCTATGCTCTTCCTGTTCCTCTTTTTGAAACTCAACCAACTATTTTGTTTCCTTCATCACCAGCTGTCTCAAAACAAAGTAAATATTTCTTTTAACACTTTGCAGAGTTAACACCAGGTTGTAATTTAGTCCACAAATTTAAGCCTCAGTCAAAGTTAGTCCTTCACCTTCATCGCAATAACTTTTCTCTTGACTTTGTACCATAATTAGTTTGCTTTATGGTCCAACAATTCTGGATCCATCTTATTTTAGTACCAGATTAACGTCTTTCTGGGGTTTGACATTTTTTTAATCCAACTCCCTTACCCTTCCATTCCCTACACCCCCATTCCTAATTGAAAAGTGAATGCAGTGATAAAAGAATCAAATGTGTACAAAAATACAGTTTTTGTATTTTTGTGCCTCATAATCCAGTTTGGCTTTAATCATTCTTCTATTAGAAGCCTAAACTCCTGTAATTGACTCATCTATTGCTTCTGGTATTCTATATTGTGTAGCATTTTAAAAATTTCCAACAGATAATGAATAACTATTTTGCATGTAGTAATACAGCTAATGCCAAATATTTATAATTTTAGGATTGTGTGATATCTTGCATCTTCCAATGTCAGTTTCTACCCATCCAGTCATTTAGTCTACTTAAAGTTCCTTGAACGTTATCTGCACAGAACATTTAGTTTTTCCAAATAAAAACCAAAAGAACTGCGGATGCTGTAAATCAGAAACAAAAACAAAGTTGCTGGAAAAGCTCAGCAGGTCAGTTCTGAGGAAGGGTCTCCAGACCTGAAACGTTAACTCGGTTTTCTCCTCCACAGATGCTGCCAGACCTGCTGAGCTTTTCCAGCAACTTTGATTTAGTTTTTCCACTCCATTTTGTATAATCTGTGCTATTGACATTGAACTTCCTCCTCATCTCCTGCTCAAGATCAGCGCAGCACTTATTATGACCGATATCCTTCCACTAACTATTGCAACTCAATTGAAATGCTGCTTGATCGCAGTTTATAGCTGTTCTATTATTGCTATTGCCAAGCTTAGTTAGAACTTGGTCAATTACAAAGCAGTAACAAGAGCTTATACAAAATTTCCTCCAACCACAAATATATTCAACAAATTTTGAAAACCTCAAAAAGCTTTGGGGAGGGGAGGAAGGTAGGTGGCATAGCCAACTGGCTAATTAATGACATGTAAACAACTTGCATTTATATTGCTCTTATTTTAAATTCTTTAAAACAATATGCAATTCTAAAACTGCCTGTGAATTGTGCCTGTAAACTAGCAAGTCTGGTCTAACCTGTTCCTTGGAGACCATAACATTTTTTTAAAAATCATTTATGGGAAGTGGGTGTCACTGACTGAGCCAGCATTTATTGCCCATCTTGAGTTGTCTTTGAAGGTGGTGGTGAGCTGCCTTTTTGAACTGCTATAGTCCATTCGGGATAGGCAGACCCACAATATCATTAGGGAGCAAGTTCCAGGATTTTGACTGAGCAGCACTGAAGGAATAGTGTTATTTTTCCAAGTCAGTGTCTGGTGTGGTTTTAAGGGAAGCTTGCAGGTATTCCTGTGAGACTACTGTCCTAGTCCTTCTAGATGGAAGTGGTCATGGATTTATAAAGTGCTGTCTAAGGTGCCCTGGTGAATTTCTGCAGTACATCTTGTAGATGTTACACACTGCTGCTGCTGCTGAGCACCAGTGGTGTAAGAAGTTAATGTTTGCAGATGTGGTGTCTATCAAGTGAGCTGTTTTGTCCTGGATGGTTTTAAACTTCTTGATTGATGTCAAAATGCACTCATGCAGGCAAATGGGGAGTATTCCATCACACTTCTGACGTATCTTTGGATGATGGACAGGCTTTGGGGCATTAGGAGGTGAGTTACTTCACTGCAGTATTCCTCGCCTCTGATATGCTTTTGTAGCCATACTATTTATATAGATAGTCCAGTTCAGTTCTGGTCAATAGTTACCCCTAAAGTGTGAATAATGGAGGAGTCAGTGCTAGGAACGTTGTTAAATATTTGCTTAGAATCCTGTCTTGGAGATTGTAATTGCTTGACACTTGTATGGCACAAACATCACTTACCACTGGTCAGCCTAAGCCGGGACATTTTGCAGTCTTGCTGCATTTGGACATGAACTGCTTCAGTATCTGAGGAGTTTCAAATGGTACTGAACATTGTGCAATCGAGCCAGCATTCCTACTTCTCATCTTATGATGGAGGAAAGGTCATTGATGAAGATGGTTAGGCCTAGGATACTATCCTGCGGAGGTGTCCTGGATCAGAGATCTCCAACAACCATAACTATCTTCCTATGTGCCAAGTTTCACTCCAAACAGCTGTGTGTGTGTCCCGATCCCTGTTGGCTTCAGTTTTTCTAAAGCTCCTTCACTGCACACTTCATCAAATGTATCCATCATATCAAGGGCAGTCACTCCCAGCTCACCTCCAAATTTCAGCTCTTATGATCATGTTTGAACCAGGAATGTAATGAAGTCAGGATCTGAGTGGCCCTGGTAGAATCTAAACTTAACAATATGCAATTCTAAAACTGCCTGTGAATTGTGCCTGTAAACTAGCAAGTCTGGTCTAACCTGTTCCTTGCTGAGCAAGTGCTACTGGGAAGCACTGTAGATGATGCCTGCCATCACTTTACTGATGGTTGAGAGTTGATTGGGGCGATAAGTGATTGGATTGGGTTTTTCCTGATTTTTATATACAGGACAAACCTGGACAATTTTCCACATTGCCAGATAGATGCCAGTGTTTTCTGTACCGGACCAGCTTGCCTAGGGGCATGGCAAATTCTGAAATGCACGTCTTCACTACTATTGGCAAAATGTTGACAGTGACCATGGCTGCCTTCCATTTCTTGAATTGAATTGGCTGAAGACTGGTATCTGTGATGCTGAGGACTTGAAGGAGGCTGAGATGGATCATCTACTCCACACTTCTGGCTGAAGGTTGCTTTAAAATACTCCAGGTTTATCTTTTGCACTGATGTGCTGGGCTCTCCCATTATTGAGGATGGGGATGTTTGCGGAGCTGCCTCCTCTGGCGAGTTGTATTAATTGCCCAACACCATTCATGACTGCAGAACTTAAATCTGATCCATTGGTTGTGAAATTGCAGTGTTGCTGCTTAGGTTGTTTGGCACGTTGTTTGGCTGTTCACCAGATTGCCACCTCATTTTTCAGTATGCTTGATGCTCCTTCTGGCATGCCCTCTTATACTGTTCGTTGAATCAGGGTTGATCCCCTGGCTTGACAGCAATGGCCAAGTGAGTGATGTGCTGGGTCACTAGATTGCACGTTATGTTGGAGTAGAGGTGTGCTGGTGCTAATGACCCACAACACCTCATGGATGCCCAGTCTTGAATTGTTTGATCTGTTTGAAGTCTCTCCGAGTTAGCACAGTAATAGTTCCACTTATCGCGACAAATGTTATTCTCACCGTAAAGATGGGACTTTGTCACCACAAGGATGGTGTAATTTTGACCCTTACTGCAGATCGGTGAGAATGAGGTCAAGTATACTTTTTCTTTTTGCTTTCCTCAGCAGCTCACCACCACCTTTTCAAGGGCATCTAGGGATGGACAACAAACGTTGGCCAGCCAGCAATGCCCACGTTCTACAAATGAATTTTTAAAAAAATACCCTGCTGCAGACCTAATCTAGCAGAAAAGACCTTTAGGACTCAACAAGCTTGGTCAGTATTGGTGCTGCTAAGCCACTCCTGGTGATGGACTTTGAATCTCCCCCCCCCAGAAAAAACAGAATACATTCTGTACCCTTTCCACACTTGGTGCTGCCTCCAGAATGGTGCTGAACATGGAGAATGATTCATTAGCTGAGGGGGTGGTACTTGGACATTAGCTGAGGTTTCTTTGTCCATGTTTGACTTGATGCCATGAGACTTTCTGGGGTCAGGAATCGATGTTGAGGCCCATGGCAACTCC